GAACCGTTTGGTTACCAGTAAAGTGCATTATATGGAGAAAAATCCTGGAATTTTTTCATCAAAAACATTAATTTCTTTTCGACTGAAAAAAGAATGACATGGACATCTTGGATGACATGGGGGTGAGTAAATTATCAGTAAAAGTTTTTTTTTTTTTTTAAAGTGAACTACTCTAAGTCTCGTCTGTGATAAAATTGCCCTAATAAAATGACAAAGCTCACAATTTATTCTCCCCCAACCCCACTAATATTCATGCGTGGACACAAACAAAATATTAGGCTATTGACTAATAGCATTCAGTGTGCACATTCCTCTATTTTGTTGTGTTGCAACACATTTTAGGCCTGTTTTACACTTTTAAAATGATCAGTATGATAATATATGCTTTACAAATGTATGTTTTATTTTTGAATACAGATCATGCAAATCTTTATATAGGCTACTGTAGGTAAGTCAAATTAATTTATATAGCACTTTTCAACTGACATTGTTTCAGAGCAGTTTCCACACAGGTGTTTTTGTACTGATGTGTTTTTCAGACTTTACAACACTGTAATTGGGTGACTGCCTCGTTCTGTCACATGATCACATGATTTGGAAAAACTGAGAAGGGTTTTGTAATTTTTTTTTTTTTTTGCTTAAGCATAAAACAGGGGAAGAAACTAGTGTAGGCTACATCTGTGCAGTCTAAAAAAACAGTTTTCTTATCAACATGGCCACTTATCACCTGAATTAACCTATCCTTGCCCTTTAGAACATGAGAAAAAGGCATGTAGGCGATCTAACATCTGCAAAACCACGTGACAACATCTGTTCACCATCACAAAGTCTTAAATCGCTTGAGGAAATGGGGGAGAATTCTTGTGCAATATAAATAATGATCTTATCCACATAGATTACTTTGGATTAAATTGCATAATGAGAATCCTTCATCTTTATGTTTCAAGCACACGCTGTAAAAGTTTTCATAATTCTAACGAAATTGTATTCGATCTGTATTCAAATGTGCTTTCAGCAGTTCTCAAGATCTTATGATCTCATCTCATGGAAATCTCGTAGGCTTTCCTATTTGGATCCAGATCTGGTAAGGAAGGCCAAGGTGTTCATTTGGTGAAAAACTGGGATTTTTTTCCCAAAGCCCAGACAAAATCCTTCAGTGATGAATTATTCAAGAGGAAGGTCAAAACGCATGGATTGTTGTCTTTCGCAGATCAATGCCTTCGTATGTCTCTCCCTTACTATAGACAAAAACCTCCCAGATTTACAGAGCCCATCTCACCATAGACTGGAAAAATTATGCCATATGCATAGATAACATCAATTGCAATAAAAAAAAAATAACTATTTAAAGTGTGTTCCTAAAGACACATTAACCCAAATATTGGAATGCGGTAACAATATAATTTAAGACCCCACCAGGTACTACTCATCTCCACTGCAAATACCAAAATTGGACAGTTGAAGACTGGAAAAATGTTGCCCGGTCTGATGAGTCTTGATTTCTGTTGAGTCATAGAGTCAGAATTTGGCGTAAACAGAATGAGAACATGGGTCCATCATGCCTTGTTACCACTGTGCAGGCTTGTGGTGGTGGTGTAATGGTGTGGGTGATGATTTCTTGGCACGCTTTAGGCCCCTTAGTGCCAATTGGGCATCATTTAAATGCCACGGCCCACCTGAGCATTGTTTCTGACCATGTCCATCCCTTTTTGGCCACCATGCATGCACAATCCTATGATGGCTACTTCCAGCAGGATAAAGCATCATGTTCCTAATAATCCTTTAGGTGAGTGTGTAAATATATATATATAGGAGTAAATAAATATAGACAATAAATAAAAATTTTGCTTTGATTACATTTTAAATGACATTAACAGATTAGAGTTATTTAAAAAAATGTTTAAATTATTGTCAGATTTATTGAATATATTACGTTATTGAAAATTCCTTGAATATTTGAAAAATATAACTGGTTTTACTCCATTTTACATAAAATAAATACTGTTTTGGTGATGGTATATATATATGGCAATGTTGAAGGTGTGTGTGTGTGTATAATTTTCAGATAGTGTTTGGAATTGGGGCGTTTACGTTGTCTGCTGTTTTGTGATAGTAATCTAAACCTTTGAGGCTCCCTGGGCAACCAAAGGTCAAATTGAACCCCTGCCTCTTTTTTAAACATATAAGCATAGCATTTACTTTAGGGGCCATGACCTTTGACTTGTCAGTCTGCCTCTTACTTTGAACCTTCTTCTTGCCTGCTTTAGCGAATGCTCTTTAATCTCCCATATGTTTTTAGTGCTAATTTTTGCTCAGCATTCTCACAGTATGCTTCTCTCTCGCACATAATAGAAAAGATTCCTGATGTCATTCACCTCGATGAAGTCCCCATCCTGCTGGCCGGGCCGAACCAACCAGCGCAGCTGTCAGATTCTTCGCAGATTTACAGTAAGCCTCCACTATTAAATGCTGATTATTTCCAGATGCTGTCCCTCTCAGTCTTAGGGTGCAAAATGATTTTTTTTCTTTCTTTCATGGAAGAAAAAAAGAAAAGCGAATGAGATCAGTGGAAAAAGCTTGCTGAGCTCTGGCCAAACATTGGTCTCTTGTAATAGAATTTTCAAGCAGAAATGAATCCTTTCTTCAGGGGGAAAAACACACCCATTTCCCTTCAGTTGCCACAAGGCAAAGCATAAACATCCCTCTAAAGCATCATGTATCATGATATTACCACATAGTACCTTAGAGTATCATGTAAACATCATTTATTACCATGGTACCACCACAGTATTACAGTATTTAGTGTTTTTGTAAAAAAACAAACATGACTAGGTTTATCCAGGGACCACCCTGACTCTGACGGAAAGAGGAAAGAATATTCCTCTATTAGTGGACCATACTGCTTTCCCCCCCTCCTCTAATTTTCGCAACACTGCTGGATGTACAATGAATGTAGTGTCTTCACTTCCCTGACTTTAATGTGACTCTTTCCCACTCAAAACTGAAGCTGCTCTCGCTTGGACTTTCTCAGAAGCAATTTGATGTTTTCTCATCCTCTCACATGTTCACGCGTGTATGCGAGTCTGTTGTTGTGTACGCGAATGAATAACGATGTCGTTCTTCACTCAAGATGTTTGAGTGTCATGTTGAATTTACTGTTGTGCTAATGGGAGACATTAACCCAGACACATAGCATTGTTCATTAACTCCATATTCACAGTCCCGAGTGAAATACTGTGATCCTGTCAATGTTTCAGGAAGATGTATGACCACAAGGGTATATATGTCATAATTTATCTCAATTAATGGCATCATTTGGTGTGCTAATTTACAGCAGCTTCATGTTATGGGTCTCAAACCAGAATCTGTTTGACTGCATTAGTCCTGTAACCACTATAGAATATGGCGTCCCACCCATGATTCAGATTAGTGGTCAACCAATATGTTTTTTAACGGCTAATTGTTTAAGTAACACTTGTGTAACCAGCCTTGCTTATTCAATTTAGCCATCAAATGCCAAAAGACTTTACTATACAGAGTTTAATGTACAAAAAGTTTTTTTTTAAATTGATTTTTAAAAATACAGTAAAAAATAATATGATATAAAATTGCAATTTAAAATAACATTTTGTGGATGCAGTGAAGAAAGTTCAAAAGAAATTTGAAATAGAAATCACATTATAAAAGTCTACTGTCCCTTTGATTAATTTAGTGCTGGGATTAGTTGATGACTGTCCTAATTAAGATCTAAGTGAGCCAAAAGTGAGCAACTACACAGAAATCCGCACATGGGTGGCGCTGTTTCTCTTTTAAAGACAGAGACATGAATAAGGGAGTGGCATTCCTTTTTGCTTTTCATATGTTCCAATTCATTGTTTCTTTCTCTCTCTTCGCCTCTCAATTGGTAGACGAGATGCAGATGTGAAAATACATTACCCTCCCCCCTCCCCCTCAGAAAAAAGATCGTCACAAGTCAAGTTTATTCTCTCTCTCAAACTCTTCACCTCATAGCTATTGATGACTGTTTACCTTTGAGTCTCTCTCTCTCTCTCTCTCTCTCTCTCTCTCTCTCTCTCTCTCTCTCTCTCTCACACACACACACACCTCATCAGAGTGTCTCATTCTCTCCCTGCTACAAGTACAACTCAACACAGAGCATCTTTCTGCTTCTGCCCAACCAAACCGCAGTGCTCGATCATGTCACATACACATTTACTCACAAAAAATGTTTCCAAGGTAACTTAACTTTGTGCAAAAAATGTCTACAATTATTAATGCTGAAATAAACCTGGGAATTTGGTATTTGCACCCTATCGCTGAATAAATAGTAATCAAAGTTTCTGATTTTTTTTTATGTTTTTGCAATTAACAATAGTTGTTTTTTAAGTGCAATAAGGAAAAAGTGGTTTTGGTAGTATAAAAAAATACTAAATATTAAAAAAAAATACTTCATTAAGATTTTATGTTATTATTTATCTAATTATTAATATCAATATTTTTTTATAAACACTCTTTGCTGGTTTGTTTTAACCCAACTTTGGGTCAAATATGGACAAACCCAGCCATTGGGTTAAATATTTTAATTACATTTTTAACCCAACGTTTGCAAACCCATGGGTTTGTCCATATTTGAGTGTATATTTAAATATGAAGAAATTTTTTTCGTGATATTTCTGACTATTTCTCTATTCTGCCTAATATAGTCTATTTCTGACTGTATTACAATGGGCCTATATTATATTAAGTTGTAATAATGAGTAGATTAGCCATGATGCGCGCGCACGTGTTACAATGCCATGGATTTAGTCATTACGCAGCAAAGCATCTTTAAAAGTCATACAGTTTATTGGGCGCATTAAACAATCATCTTAAGGTAAATGTTGATCAATATACTTACGTTAAAGTGTATCAGGGCCTAACATCGCTGTATAGCAGCATAGATGAAGCACTGAAGTAGACATAAGTGGACCGAACTCCACCTCCTCCTCCCTCCTGTTGTAAGGCGTTTCATTCTGCTGTGCGCTCTGAGCGGACTCGCCACTGTCCGCTACTTCATCTCACCCGAACCTGTTTTCATATTTCATCTGCAATCATATCACTCCTTCTGTTCTGTGTGTTCCCCAACGTCAGTTTGCACGGTTAACGTGCAGTTAAATCAGGATCTATGGCGCTTAATGGATATATATTGACCGCTCTGTGCGCACTTTGGGCAGGGATCTTCGCTCAGGATGTCTCAAGATCCTCCTTCAGAGGTAACTATACATATATATATATTTTCCCGTTCTAGTTGTATTGATCATTTCTTATTTGCAATGGATAAATATGTTTAGCATGTTCGACATTACACTGTCCCGGTGTGCGTAAAAGTCGGTTATTAAATACAGCTGCAAATAAACGCTGGATATACAACATGGATTCTTAACTTATGTAACGTTTGCTCTTTTGTTATAATAAGCATAGCAAAGTTCTAATAGTTTGTATAGAGGCATTAGGCTAAATAGCATTGTGTAGCCGATATGGAATATGTTGACTGGGATGGTAGTAGTGAGTTATAATTAAGAATGTTACAATAAGTTACAATATACAATAGTAGCAATTTACAGAATGAATTGCATTATTTGATCCCTTGCAAAATTGCGTATCCATCTATCCAGAGATGCATGATGATGTTTGAGTTGGGATTCTGCTTGTTTTATGCTTGAATGCATCAAAACAATATCAATGTGACTGCAATCGGGATAGTGAGTTATGATTCAGAAGATGCTCTGGAGTTGATGATTTGTTGAAATGCAACTTGTTTATGTGAATCTCTGTGCCTCAATGGATGAAAGGCCTTAGTTTAGGCCACATTCATGGATTCTTCATATAAACTGTGCATAATTTGGAAATAGTTACTTTAATGTTTATCTGAAGAAAGTTGATCTGGTTGGACTGTCCCAAGGAGATTGATTATACAATTTGGAAGATTTGGTTAGGTAAACAGTTTATCATGGCATTGTTGCAGTCACACACACCATAGATCTGTACATACCTGTATACTGTATCTCAGATACTACCATATTCAAATTACATGTAATGTCACGTGAGTGCATGGTTTAGGTCAGGTGATGTCCACAATTGACGATGGAGCGTCAAGTTTAATATCCACCAATAGGGGGAGCTCATCATTATTTTTCCAAACTAACCATACTTGTAATTAACACGATCAGGAAGTGGAAATAAAAAATGTTGTTACACCCATCCACGCCCTAAAAAAAAAATGTTTATGTACTTTGTTTTACCTCACAATGCAGCATATGAACATGCTACTGTTTACAAACATTTACATTCAAACTCACATTTAAGCAGTTGATACTTTTCCTGAAGTCGTGACTGGAAATATGATAGTCTAGACCTGTAAAGGACATACAGTAAGAGCATTTTTGAACCACAGATGATTTTGTGATTCTACTTCTGTCTTCCTGCAGAGTGTCCTGTGGATTTGTTCTTTGTGTTGGACACATCTGAAAGTGTGGCCCTCAGAGCCAAACCTCCAGAGTTCTACATCAACCAGATCAAGACCTTCACTAAGCTCTTCATCGATGAGCTGAAAAACCTGTATGCTATGTCTCGACCAAGATATTTTAGACATTTTTATTATATCCATCTTTTTTCTTAAATATTTTTCATATATTATCACATTTTATCTTATCTTTGTCATATTCGTTTTAAAGTGGTCCTATTATGTTTTTTACTTTACATTTTTAGTGTGTTATGGTGCTACAAACATTTTAAATGTGTGAAAAAATTAATTTTTTAAGCATTCAAGCATTAAAACCTATTCTGGTAGACCACAAAAACAAAATCAAGACTCTGAAAAAGGGCATAATATGCCTCCTTTAAAGGCGCACAGAGTAAACCAGGCCTAGAAAAATCTGATTTATTTTATACAAGAGTGGAGCCACCATATTGAGATCACATGACCAGGCCAAATCATATCATGTACTTTGTTCTAAGTGCATTGACTGTTGATTGTTAAATTGTGTGCACCTTTAACAATAAGTTTACATATGTTTACCTTAATGCTTCGCTACAAATGTAACTTGATTATGTTGACAGGCGACAGCCTTGTGACCGTGATGTGACGTGGAACTCAGGAGCGCTGCACTACAGTGACGAAACGGAGCTGGTGATGGAATTAGTTGACCTGAACACAAAACGCGCTGACCTGAAGGCTGCCATAGACAAAATCAAATACATAGGCAAAGGAACATACACCGACTGTGCCATCAAGGATGGTATCGCTGAGCTGCTTCGAGCGTATGATCATTTTGGCATTATTTGAAACTGCATATGCATATTAAAATACATACATACATATATACACATATACATACATCTGCTTGCAGGGGCTCCCACTATCATGAGAATAAGTACATTGTGGTGGTCACGGATGGTCACCCTGTGACCGGCTACAAGGAGCCTTGTGGTGGTATCCAGGAGGCTGCCAATGAAGCACGACAACACGCCATCAAAGTGTTCGCTGTGGCCATCTCACCTGACCAGGAGGTACTGTACATAAAAGAAATGCTTCTTAAATCTGAATTTCTTTGCATTATGTTTTCTGACATGCACATAATTGATCCAGACAAATAGTTTTTAAAGGGATAGTTCACTTATGGGAATGTTTTAGCTTACCTCAATGGCATCCAACATGTAGGTGTCTTTGTTTCCACAGAAGTTTCAATTTTGATATTTTTAGGTCAAACCGTTCTTGTCTGTCAGTCATATAATGGAGGTCTATGGTCACCACCTCAAGGAGCATGCACAGAGAAGTCCAAATTAAACATGATTTAATGACTCGTAAATGTAAGTACACATTGATGGCCTAAGACACGAAATGAGCATTTTTTTAACTCTTGTTACCACAGCCACAAAGCGCCTGCCCCCTCAGATCACTTGGTCGTGGCTGTGGTTACAAGAGGTAAAAAATTATATAAATACTGTTCGTTTTCTCACACAAACCGCTCGTTTCGTGTCTTAGGCCATCAATGTGTACTTACATTTACGAGTCATTAAATCATGTTTAATTTAGACTTCTCTATGCATGCTCTTTGAGGTGGTGACCATAGACCTTCATTATATGACTGACAGACAAGAACGGTTTGACCTAAAAATATTATTTGAAACTACTGCGGAAACAAAGACACCTACATCTTGGATGCCCTTGAGGTAAGGTAAAACATATCAAAAATTAAGAAAGTATACTCCAATCTTCCTGATTTATATTATACACATATTGGGCAAGTGCTATTTCAAAATGGCAAGCTTCAATCTGATTGGCTGGATTTCAGAATTCAGGGAATAAATATGCTCTTCATTCAAACACAATTTTTTTTAATTACATATAAAAAAGTTGCATTGAATTTATAGTTCCTACAATAAAGTGATTAGACTACCATTTTTGCAAAAGTATACAAGGTGCATGCCATTTAATGTTTGAACATTTTTTCAGATTTTCATTACACTTTATTTTGATAGTCCACTTTAGACATTCTGCTAACCTTGCAACTACATGTCAGCTTACTCTTATTAAATAATTAGTAGACTGTTAAGTTAGGGTTAGTACTTGCAATGTCAGTAGAATGTCTGTTGGGGGACCAAAAGAAAAGGTTAGCAGATATTATACAGACAAACCATTCTATGTTGACATGTACTGTAGTTGCAATGCTATTTATAGTTAGAAGAATGTCTAAAGTGGACTAAGTATTACCCAGATTTTTATTTAAAACAAATAATAGCAAGTAAACAATATAAAAACCACCACTTAGCAGTAAATCAAGTCTTTTTCCTGTGTAAGTGGGCACCAATAATAAGCAGCAATGCAGAGTAGTTTATGCCGATGGCCAAAAGTCTCACCACACAAGACTTGCACATAAAGTGATGCTTTTTGTAAGAAACATATTTTTTTTCTCATGCAGATATATTTAGACAAGCCATAATGTTTCCCTTTTCTTTCAACTCTTCTTCCCAGGACACCAGACTGTCTGTCATTGCCACAGATGTGAACTACAGACAGAACTTCACCGCTGCAGACAACTCCCGCTCCACACAGCTGAGCTCTATACACTCCATCATCAACATGATTGTGAGTGCCGTAACACAAACGCACCACAACAAGGATGTTTATGTGGTTTTCCTGTGGATTTATGAGTCAGACTGGCCAAAACACATATTGAATTGGTTTTGCATAAAGACAAATAATTAAAAATCTGCTTGAAATTGCATGATCAAATATTTATTGGCATTGGCATAGACCTGTGTACATTATGTGCCTATATACACTATACCATTCAAAGTTTGAGGTCAGTATTTTTTTTTTTTTTTTTTTTTGGAGAAAACAGTTATTTTAAATTGTAATGATGTTTCACACTTACAATTTTTCTGTATTACTTTTTTTCACCCACAGCATTTCAAATCTAGTGTATATTACTAAAACCAATTCTTTATAGGCTTAATGCATTTGTTTATTAATACATATTTCTTTAAACACATGAGCTTAGGGAATTCCAACCAACTGAACTTACTTTATCTGTCCGCCATCAATAATGGCAGCCATTGTAACATTGGAGCTCATGGCAATTGTGTGTAGATTTTTCTAATGTTGTTCTCTTCCCTTTTTATCTTTTCACTCTAGACAAATGAAACAAAGGATGTGGTATGTTGCCTTCCCATAGCTTTTGCACATTGTATAGAATACCTTAATTTTGTACATTCCTAAATTGATTTTGTTTCATAAATCTTTCCCTCAGTGCTGCTCCTTTGACTGCAACGTAAGTGATATTACTTGTCTAAACCATTTAAACAAGTCGTTATTGATATTTTCTGTTTCTAACTGTTTCATGCAATATTTTCACAGGCCCCTGGAGGCCCTCAGGGACCCCCTGGAGATCCAGGACAAAGAGTGAATATTAATAAAATTGATTTTTATGTCTTTATGTTGCCTCTCTATCCATCTTCATACTGTATATTCATGTTTAATTCACTCTCAGCATGCACAGGGGTCTGTGGCCTAACCTTTCCTTTTCCTGCAGGGAGAGACTGGAAGACCAGGCATGCCGGGAGAGAAAGGAAGTCTTGGCTCTCCGGTAAGCATCTGCTATCTGCTTTTGATAGATAAATGCCCCTTTAGAAGTAATAGTGGTTGTTTGTAGGCGTAAGTCAAGTCTAGTCAGCTTTATGGTCATTCTGCTACAAAAGAACTAAATGTCATGCTTTACAATACCATATTACATATAACATAAATACACATAGCTTAAAAAAAATGAATATTTGTGACCAACTTGAATCTTCATGGGGGAAATCTTTCACCATTACACAAAATTAATGTGGATTCATATATGTATATATATATATACTGTATATTTAAATGCAGAATCCACATAAGACAGGAAACACTAAACAATGTAAGACACTTCCATTGAGTTTAAAGGGAGACTCCACTTTTTTACCACTCCCCCAGAATTAAACAGTTGGGTTTACCGTTTTCGAATGTATTGAGCCGATTTTTTTTTTCATATTTAGAAGAATATCAGTAACTAGAGAGTTTCTTGTCCCATTGACTTCCATAATATATTTTTTTCCTACTATGGAAGTCAATGAGACCAGAAACTATCTGGTTACTTATATTCTTCTAAATATCAGAAAATCGGCTCAGTACATTCGAAAATGGTAAAACCCAACGGTTTAACTCTGGGGGAGTGGTAAAATGAGCCTATTTCCAAAAAAAGTGGAGTATCCCTTTAAGAAAAAAAAAGATAGAGGAGCAAGGATGAAGACAAACAGGTGGCCGATATAGACATCAAAGAAAAAAATACTAAAATAGTACATAGACAGTTTCAGACTTTCTGTTATGTTTTTTTTTAAACATTTGAAATTCGCATAGAAATATATTAAATTACCATTACAAGTATGGATACGATATTTACCTATCAATAAAACAAAATGTACAACATCAAAGAGCACATCTTGTTCAGTTATAGGAGGAATTGTCTCCATTTTTACTTTATCAAACCAAAATTTAGAAGTAACCTCACAGTAAAAGAATAGGTGATCAATTGTTTGAGGAAAAGTGGATTCAGATATTACACCACTGAAACGACTAGATTCCCCCCACATAAATTCGCTGACCTGACGAACCAAAGTCAAAATATACAGCTGTCATTTAAAAAGTCCATTGTACGTGCCAATTAACATGCTGATTAATACTTTTCACATGGCTATGAGATCATTGTGTTTAATATACGTTCCATCTGTCCCCGGATCTCTTTGTTGAGAATCCAAACGAAGCAAAACCCTCGACTGACCCCGAGGTCCAGCATCTTTCATCTTTCTGCAGCTGTTATAATTTCAATGACCTGTCAAAATGAGTTTCTGGTGGACTTCCTGTCGGCCACATGCGCACCATTTTCTATGTTTGCTAGGATGTTTTGTAGATATTTGGCCTATAAGTATCATAAAACAAGCACACACACTGGAAAACATCCAGCTAGGCTATTAAACAGCACATGGTGGCTGAGCTATTCTGTTATTTTACAGTGAATCCTGATTTTGTAGACAAAACAATAATTACAGCATACTCTAAAAGGCCCTGTAAGAATTGTTTCTTGAAGATACGATCTTGATTACTTTATCCCACCTTTTTCCTTGTTTATTCTCACGTCAGGTCTGCTAAAATGGTCACTAGTATCTTAATAGGGGTTGAGGGGGCGTCCAAATGTCTCTGTATTAGTTATTTATACCACAAATATAATCATTGCAAAGCTCTTTTTGGCATTCTCTCTGATCTTTGCTCCACTTCTCCTATTAGGGAAAGGCTGGTGATCCCGGGCCAGTCGGTTACCAAGGAATGAAGGTCTGTCTTCCGCTCTCTCTCACAAATATTTACATTCTGTTTATAGTACAGTTGATTTGTGCACTCTTGCTGGAGTGGTAATCTATACTATTTTCCTTTCCTTCCAGGGAGACCAAGGAACGAGAGGTGATAAGGTAAAAGAGACAGAGCTTCCTTGCTGATTCAAAGGACATTTTCATTAAAAGCATATTCCAACAGTCTGCAGTTGATTATTTTATCTCATAATTGATTATTGAACTACAACGGTTCTCTAATACACCCTTGTTTTATCTGCAGGGAGATAGAGGTCATAAAGGCTTCAAGGTGAGCTTATTTATTATTCTCTTTAATTGTGTAGTTTTGCCAATCAGAAGTTGGATATCATGCTGAATTGAATCCCAATCCTACTTTTAGGGAGACAAAGGTTACAGCGGTCTTGATGGCATCGATGGACGTAAGGTAAGTCCTCTTCTTATGTGACGCATATCATTATTTTAAAGGGGACATTCTGTATCCTTTACCAATGGAACACAAAAGGAGAAATGTTGTACAATGTTTGCCGCTATTTTCTGTTCTGTTGAATGTCAAGTTCTAAAAATAACTAATAAACACCATAAAGGTGTGATTAAAATGGTCTATTCACTCTTAAAAGTAAAGTTTCCAAAAGTTTCATATTAATGCCAAAGAACCCAAATAACTGTTCTTGTGTCAGTTCCTAAAAGAACCATTTTTTTTCTAAGTGTGATGGAAATTTTAATAATCTAATGAAACTTTTCCACTATAAATAATCTTTTGGAAAGGTTCTTCATGAAAATATCGATGGCAATAAGGAATCTTTCATTTTTAAGAGTGTTTGACCACATTTAAAAAAAAAGAAAAAGGCAACTTATTTGTAAATTGGCAATTGGCTTTTTGAATGGCAGTCTGTCTTATCTGTCTGACACTTTATTCCATTTCTGTCTCTTTTTAAGTGCGTCTGCCGTTTGGGGAATGGGCCTAGTCTTGTTTCTCTTCCCTTGACTTTACTTCGTCTTCATCCTTTAGTTGTTTTGCTCCTCAATTAGTTCTCAGGGCATTTTCCACTCGACAAATCACTGTGCCTTGTCTTTATTCCCCCATCTGCACATGAAACATCTCAACTCACAGTAAAACTTTATCATGTAATGTGATTTACGACATATTCTTTCTGTTTTTATTTTCCATCTATATAGCATGCAGTCTTGTTTTGAAAGATCTTTTTCCTCTGTGCGTCTTCACTGTTTCTTAGTGTGATGTCACCCTCGACATAATTAAATGCAGCTCAAGGTGTTTGACTCCCAGCATGAAGAAGAGTGTTTATATTTTGTGTGTTTGTATTATATTTCATAGGGTGAGCCGGGATTTTCTGGCCTTCCAGGCTGCAAAGGGTCACCAGGGCCAGATGTAAGTATAACTGTTACCTCTCAAAAGAATGTCAAATAATGAACAGAACTGAATGACTGGTTAATACACCACATTTACTTATGGCTATATTATAATATTAATGTTTTGGTTATGAATTTAAATGCTTTGTAATGTAATCTGTTTAAAGGAAAGATTGACTGCTTTTGTAAATCTCATTTCAAATAATTTTGATACTCGTTTGCCATCCTCTTGAAATTGCTGAAAAATCACATTCTGAGTTGAAGGATTTTTTTCATTTACAGTAAAAATATCTAAATATCTTTTTAAGTGATTTTAAAAAATACAGAGAAACAAACACCCTATTGTATAGGTTACATTAGGTTTATAATTTAAACAGTATAATACTCTTGTGTTTTTCTAATCCTAGATTTGGCATACTCATGTTATACATGTTATACATTGAAATTTTAAAATAAAATAAGTCTTATTGTCCTAAAACATTCTTGTTTGGTAAAAGTAATTAAAGGAATAGTTCACTTTAAAAAAAACAACTTTAGCTGATAATTTACTCACCCCCATGTCATCCAAGATATCCATGTCATTCTTTCTTCAGTCGAAAAGAAATTAAGGTTTTTGATGAAAACATTCCAGGGTTTTTCACTTCAATGGGAACCAAACGGTTCAAGGTCCAAAAGACAGTTTCACATGCAAACTGTTCAAAGGGCTTTAAACGATTCCAGGCTATGAATAAGGGTTTTATCAAGCGAAACGATAAAAAGCAAAGTTTATGTTTTATAAGCTCAAATGGTCGCCTTGCTCTGTTCTGTGATGCGCATTTGTGACTCTCCTGTTCGAACTCGTTTATCAAAATGAACGAATCTTTTCCCGAGTCAGCTCGTTCATTTCGTTTGTTAAATGAACCAAATGACACGAAAAAAGATTTGTTTAAAGCCCTTTGAACAGTTTGCCGTGAAACTGTCTTTTGGACCTTGAACCGTTTGGTTCCCATTGAAGTCCATTATATGGAGAAAAATCCTGTAATGTTTTCATCAAAAACCTTAATTTCTATTCGACTGAAGAAAGAATGACATGGATATCTTGGATGACATGGGGGTGAGTAAATTATCAGCAAATGTTTTTTAAAAGTGATCTACTCCTTTAAGAAAATGATTTTTATCAAAGCGATATGTACAATCTGTATTATCTCCTATTTTTTTGTAGTTTCTTGTACCGTTAAATGTATTAGTGTCACATTTGTTGATGTCACCATGCATATGGAGATTATATGTTGTTGAGGTCATGCATAATAAAAACACACAAGCACCATATATGGTTATTTTGGCATAGGGTGGGGATTTACACTTGCACATGTATGTTAATAAATCTGCTAACTGGAAAGTTTTTTTTTTTTTAAAGTTTTTTTTTTTCATGTTTATGGACTCTCATGAATTGTGTGCACGTTTGCTTGTTCACATCATATTACTTTGATCCAGACACATTGGAGCTTCTGTTGATTCAGATGCATTTGAAATCATCCCAAGTTGTAGATCCACATGTTTGGATATCAGAATCTAATTGGATGAGAAAATGGATATCACTCTACTATAAAACATCACCTCAACAGGACTGCAGATGTTCCCGCCCCTTTGAGCGATGTTCATTGGCTGCGCAATGTGTCAATCAGTTTTATGAGCGTCTGTTTCCACTCCAGCCTGCATCTGGAGACCAGGACAGGGGATGTTTGCCTCTAGAGCAGCCAAACACTTACCAAATTTGACATCCAAACTGCTCTCAGAACTCTCAAGAGTGTTTGTACTTCGTTTCGATATTTTAGTAAAGAGTATACTAAATGAAAAGTAGGATATATGGTTGTATGTTCTTCCTCTTTATTTATAAATAAACCTTTTTATTTCATATTGTAGGGCTTGCAAGGAGAACCAGGTCCTAAAGGAGACCCCGGCCAATATGGATCCAAAGGAGAAAGAGTAAGGGATGAAAATTAGTCTGCATTTCAAAAAATTTAGAGCTTGCTAGCATGATCAGACAACAATAAGAGTTCTCAGTATATAAATATATAATTAATCACAGATATTTTAATATCTGTCCAACCAATATCAATAACCGTCTCTGAGGTTTCTCTTTTAGAGCTCTGTAGAGTTTTAAGTGTTTCATTTGTTTTTAAACTCTGCCTATTTATTTTCAGGATCAATAAAATAGAAAAATGATACAACGTTTGCATAAAATATACACTTCCTGCAATATATCTTATGTTCACCAAGGATGCATTTATTTGATCAAACATATAGTGAAAACAGTAATATTGTGAAATATGGTTACAATTGATTTTCTATTTTAAGAAGTCATTTATTCCTGTGATAGCAACACTGAATGTTCAGCATCATTACTCCTGTCTTCAGTGTCGCATGATCCTTCAGAAATCATTCTAATATGCTGATTTGCTGTTTAAGAAACATTAATTATTATCATCATTGAAAATTAGCATCATCGTCATTTATTTTATTTTTTTCAGAATACTTGGATGAATAGAAAGTCTTTACTTGTCACTTTTGATCAATTAAATGCATTCTTGCTGAATAAAAGTTCTTGCCTTAGGAGCATTTGATGGGAAATATGAGTTCATTTAACTTTTGGCTTAATTTGGACAAATCTGCACAAAATCTGGGACATTTTCTCAGAAGAAACATCTCAGAAGATCGAGACTTGGGAAAAAGTCTCCATTTGTTCTACATTTATATACCAGTTCTGTCTTAAAGAGACATCATTTGTAATATTAGCTTATTTTGAGTAATTTCCAGCAGTAAAACATAATTAAACTTGCTATATTGCTTTCAGGGAGATCCTGGTAAAGATGGTGAACCTGGAAGACCTGGAAACTACGGACCTTCAGGTGCCAAGGTACAGAGGAACATGATGCATCAATAAATAATGCATCTTTACATTATGATTGTATTTGGCTGGTAAATGTTACATCATAGGTTAGTTCTATTTCACTACTGGTGGTGTTTGACTTTATACAGTATAACTAGTTTTCAAAGGACATTGGCCAATCTGCAATCCCTGTGCTTGTTGTTTTAGGGAGATAGGGGTCCTCGTGGTACCAATGGTGATAAAGGCGAGAGAGGAGATGATGTAAGTGTTTTTTTTACCTTTTCAAAGGCTGGGATTCTACACATGCAATGTACTCGTGTTTGACAGATGTGAATTTAGTGTTATCTAATGGTATCTTGTACTGTTTTTAGGGACCAACAGGACCAAACGGCCCAATCGGAGACAGAGTAATCAAACATTTATATATATCTTGGAATGTGAATGGTTGTGTTTACATTTTTACATTTGAGGGTAAAGATATGCAGATGGTCTGAACACATGTTTTCTCTGTTGTAGGGCACACCTGGTGAAAAAGGTGAACAAGGTTCCCGTGGTAACAGAGGGCCCAGAGGCGAGATTGTGAGTATCCACCTTATTTTAATTTTGTATGAACAGGCGCAGCCACTTCTAGTTATTTTAGCTGTAAAAAAAAAACAACAGTCTGCTTGATTTTGTAAACTGGTATCTCATATCATATTATTTTAAATTATTGTCGTATTATAAAATTCTGGCTTGTAGTCTACATAGTTTTACCATTTAGTACTGGACTTTGTTATTCTTCTAGTTATTTACCTATAACAACTAATGAATCGGAAACCTAACACATTCACAGAAAATAGCTTACTTCCGAGGTGTGAAATAAGGTGGATATTAGAAAATATCCCACAATGCATCTTTTCCAAACACAAAGGTAAAAACACTCCTAATAATTTAAGTGTAACTTAAAATGACATTTGCAAGCCATTTCATTTAAAGGTGCAGTAAGTGATTTCTGAGAATCATTGTTAAAAACTGCTAGTGTGTGAAATCAAACCAAACACACCCCTCAAATTCATTGATTCGCCCACAAAATCCATGCAAACAAAGGGTCTCTATATCATAGTGGATGAATGACAAGGAAGAACAAAAAAATACATACAGTACATGAGTATATAGCAAGAGTTTGTTGTAAGTCGCCAGCAACACACTCAAAAACTATTCTCGCGTGTGGAGCGGAAACAACACAAACTCAGCGTCTGTTTTCAGGCCTTCCCGCTTCGGTCTCTCCAGCGCTGGAAAGCTTTTCTGATATTAACGCGGGTCCTAAAGCTCTTTCCTGATCAAAACCTTTCTTTTTCCAGTGATATTCCTCTGACCTTTCTCGTTTATAATGTCTCTCGGCCATCTCTCTTTCAACAGTCTTTCTTCAAATCTCCCTCTTTCTTACTCTCCCTCCTCCTCTGTCTTGAGTGGACACGCCCCCTGCTGCTGATTGGCTACCAGTTATCAGTGGTGCTCTGCCCAATCATCTTTTTTTCAACAGAGTTTTTATTTTAAATTGCTTACTGCCCCTTTAACACTTTCCCCACCATTTGACGAGATCTGTTCACAGGTGCAAATAATCACACACAAGAAAGTAAATCGGTTTTATTTTGAGTTCATGTTGACTTACTGTATACTGTATTCTCACTGGCTCTGGTGACTCTCTGTTAATCAAATACACATTGTTATAAGTTAAACATATCTGACACACACTATATTATTATCCACAGATGTACATAATTTCAGTTTCAAACAAATTCATTAGATATTAAGTGTGCATGTTCTGTTCTGTAAATGACTTTGACAACTTAAACCTTTAGTGTTAAGTCACCTTTATTTATATAGCACTTTATACAATACAGATTCACATTAATAATAAACTGTAGTAATGTTGCAAAGTTCTTCAGTTCTATAAAAAAGGGTTGATAGAAATGAAGTTAAGGTGGACTTTTTACTCTTACAGGGTGAACCTGGGCCCCGGGGTGAGCAAGGACGCGAGGGGTCATCTGGGCCAAACGGAGACCCGGTGAGTGACGAAAACCATCATGACTTCTTTATAGCAGATTTTGAGTATGTATGAGCATTATATTGAGCATTACCCAACCTGAACTGAAACATTGCACAAGTTCGAATCACAAACCTCGATCATTTTATCATATTTATACATTTATTTGCTTCCTTAAATGTTAGTCCAGAACTATACATTGCAGAATTGTGTAGTATGTAAGACATAAGACCTTACTCTCGAGCTTAAACAGGGATGAAAGCTTATGACCTCAGGGCACAGGCATTCTGGGAGGCCTTCTGAGATCATTGGACCTCTGGGCTGCGTTAGAAAGTAACTTGAGGAACAAAGACATACGTCTAGTGGTTCCGCCATTTGTGGTGGTTTGGGCAGTGGGATGAGAAAGAACAAAAGATATATAAGTTCCCAAGGTCAGATGGACTCCAGATGGACGTCGTTCGACCAGCCAAGGCGAGTTCAAACATGAGCAGCAGATACAGTTCAACAGATGTATTTCAATACCTAAAAGTATACAAATGGTCTTCCCTGACAGAAATATCTTACACTTTGTGTATTAAAAGATGGCGTCTCAAAAAACTCCTTTGGTGCTCTTAGCCAGCCTAGCCAGACATTTGGTTTGTTTTAGCGGGTTTTAATCACTTTCTTCTGTGAAATAAGCTAGCCGTACTAGCTCAGTGATTCCAGTTGAAGTCGTGTTTTCTATTTTAAAAGCATGGACCACGTGTGTATATTAGGGCTGGGGTAAACGATTATTAACTAAACGATTAGTTGGGCGATTGTTTTATCGATTAGTCGACTAATCTAATGACTAATTGGACGACTAATATAAAGAATATTTTTTCTGCTGCTCAATTAATAAAAAAAACAATATCTCAAATAAATACTAGCATACTGAATCAAGATACTATAAGCTGGCTAACGTTAGTCTAATATTATGTATTTGAACACCATCATATCTCTGCAACTGCCAAAACCGTGTTATTAAAATATTTTTTACAAACATTTTTTATCATAGAGACTGTTTAAATATTATCAGCTGAGGAGGGAAACGGAGTCGGAGTTCACCTACTGATCAGAGCGCGTGCTGACACGGAGTAAAGCCTTGTTTATACTCGACACGTCCGCACGAGCGCGAATGTGCGCACGGCAAAAATGACCCGTTGGGTGCGCAAGACCAGGAAGACTGTGGCTGGCTGTGTGTACGCCTTTTTTTGTAACAACGCGCCCGGCGCCGCGTCCAGGAACGACTTCAAGCCGAATCTGCCCGAGCTTGTACGTCTCACCACACCGGCACCCAGTTTGCGTGTCTAAATTGCAATTTTTTTTCTTAAGGGTTTGTTGACTGTGTGTGATTCATTTAATGGATAGCACATTCACTTCTAGTTGTCTTCGTCCTCTATTCTGCAATGTTTCGGTCCCCCACGTGTGTGTGGCAAGCTGTACCGCCGGGAACATGCAAAAAATAAATAAATAAAGAAGCGTCGACGCAAAAATATGACGTCGACGCAATCTTGACGCGCCGCTACAGCACTAGTGTATATTGTATTTAATTCATTCAAGAGTTTAACAATGGTGGTATAATGTTTTATACTTTATTTAATGCATCTCCTGTCAGATAAATGAAGAATAAAATGGCGTCATTTTTGTCTCAAACAAATCGGCTTGGATGTTTTTTAGGCGTTGAGTAACATTGATTAGAATGCTTCAGGTTTAGGAAGGACATTAGGAGTGATTACACATGCCAGACCTGAGTCCAGATTTCCCAACTGAAACAAGCTAATGCTGGGATTTCGACCTCGGATTCTTGAGGCTTACAACATCACCAGCTGCACCGCAGAACTCCATGCATGCTAGGTCTGTCAGCACTTGACTTCTCTCTAAAGCACTTGTAAACTACCATGCCAATTGCGAGGAGAAGAACAAATTTCCGATTCCTCTCAGGACTCTAAATTTCCTGTGCAGCTTTACGTGAGAGTGTTTGCAGCATGTGGATGTTCCTCAGATCCATGGTTTTCTCCAAATCATCTGTTGTTTCTCAAAAACAGTGGTTTGTACGAGCCATTTCTGCTCTCGCAAAATCTTCATTAGCGACTTGCGAGAACCGCCGCGATTCCAGATGCACAGCTTTTGTGCTTGCCAGTGAATCATGAGTTTTAGTTCTTCCTTTTTTTATTAGTTTTGTCCTGCCAGAGGTATTTTCCAGTAGAGTTGAGTCAGTGGTTGGGATGGGAAAGAACCAAATGTTCAAATAGGTGGAAATCTGGATGCGTTTCTGAAGTCATGAGCCACTGCTTTCTCAAAGACTGCTTTTTTTTTACTGATTTAATTCACCCATGCGTCAGATTCTGCTCTCGGAAATAAAATGCTGCATTTAAAAAAATAAATATTCTAATAAAAAGTTGTATTTTTTTACTGAGTCATTTACCAAAAGTATATTTTTAGTCGATGACTCAGATCTCCAACGCCAGCAAAAAAGCTAAACATTAGATAACTGTATGATTCCACTATGTGGTCATGTTGCCATGAATGGCTCTCTGTCTTCAGTGTCTACACCCTTGACTCTTATCGAGACAATTACTCCAATTTATGTTATTACATTCTGGAATATTTTATTCTAATGGCCCTCTACTCTGAAATGTATTTTTAATATATTAAATTAATAAAATAAATGATAAAAAAATTAAATCTGCAGTCCGTAGCTTTTTTGGGTTAAAAATTATCCAAAATAAAATTTTGAGCAAGTACATATCCAGCCAATGTTCAAAACTATCTGCTTGCCTTAGCTTGATTCAAAACGGTAAGCTTGTAATAATGTTTTTAATTCCAGTGGTACTAGTGGATTTACGCGGGAGATTCGAGCATGTTTTTACGCCGCCGAGGCACAACTCGCGTAAAGTTGATAATTCCACGAATAACTGCAATTGCAGATTTCAAACAGAGACGGCGACAAAGAGGAAAGACTGCGGACTGCTCTTTAAATAAAAAATACATAGAAAATAAATAAATCAAATCAAATATATTGTTTTCAAACATTATTTATATACAGTAGTTTAGGGTCCACTTCTTACTATTAACTATGACTTTTGACTCAATAAACTCATAATAGTTAGCAAGGTAAGTTTCCATGTTGTAGAATATGGCATTAATATGTGCTTTTTAAGTACTAATAAACAGCCAATATCCTAGTAATATTAATGCTAATAAGCAATAAGTTAATAGTGAGATTTGGACACTAAACTAAAGTATTAACATATATATATATACATATATATTTATTTGAAAATTGGTAGTAATGTCATGTCTCTTCTGTGGTTTCGTTTTTCATACATTTCATACACATTTCACAATAATTTCACATTAAATTAGAAAATTTTGGTCCGTTTTGTTGGCTACTTTTCAACTGGTAATACTGACCAAGTTTGACCAAGCTGGGAGACCATGTTGATAAAATCAGAAATCTAGTTTAGGCTGGTTTAAGTATGTTTTCCCCCTAACAGGGGGATGCTAATATATTCATATATCCTCAGGAATATCATTTCTCATTTTCAACAGGGCGAGCCAGGCAGGGCAGGGGCACCAGGTTACCGTGGCGATGAAGGTCCTACTGGGCCAGAGGTGGGTAATGTTAACTAGTCTTGATTACCTGTATGTCACCCTGACCTGCTGTTGCATCTACAACTGATGTACATTTCCTATGTTGAAATCATGTTTTTTAGGGGAAAAAAGGGGTCAGAGGAATCAAAGGAGCCCCAGGAGACAGAGGCCTAATAGGAGAGAGGGTGAGTTAGTTCTGTTGGGCTTCAGAGCTAGGTTTAACCAAGCAAAGTCCTTGCCCTTAGCTGTAACAACGTTTTTTTACCCGCTCAGGGTGATGATGGACCACAAGGAAATGGAACAGAAGGGTGCCATGGTTTCCAGGTAGAGTACCTCTCAATTGATTAAATATCTTACCCTCAAAAATCATATTTAATGTAGTATGTTTATTTGTTTATGTGCGTGTTTGTATCCTTTTAGGGCTATCCTGGCCCCAGGGGAGATCCAGGAGCGCCTGTAAGTATACTGACCCTTACAGAGGTTCTCCATTAATAGAACTCAACATTAGTTTTCCAAAAGTAAAAATCCCCATTCATTTCTTTCACTGAGAAACTGACATGGGCGTCGGAACCATTGTATATGGGTGGGACAAGACCCACCTACTTTTTAAGAGCAATGAAATTGGACCCACTCACTTTTACCGTGTCTAATTCGGCGCACATGTCTGTTCGCTTTTCAGAGTGGCGTCAGTCAAATCCATTCCACTTCAGGAATGCCCTAATAAATTGAAATCATTCCATTCCATTATATTTTCCAACGAGCCGCAACTGATTAAAATAACCGCCCGTTGTACCCTTCCAATCAAATATTGCGTTGCAAACATCAATAACAGCTTTAAGTTGCTAGTGCTGGCAAATGACCATGGTATCAGCGGGATAATCCACGGAAAGCTGTGCGTTTAACGCACGACGGGAAGCGGAGTTTAGTTTACTTGTTTACATTTTTCTGGGGGAGGGCCCACTCACTTTTTTTTTGCTTCCGACGCCCATGGAAACTGATATCGAATGATAATGAGTAACACTTTCGATTTTTTATGATAAATGATTTCTAGTAAAGAACCATAATCCTGATGAGTGATCCATTAATCAGATTTGCTGGTACAGCAAAATAGTAGGAATCTCCCAATCACTGTGAATGATGTAATCAGATCTCCCTGCACTCTCATTATAATTGCATGTTTGAATATTTTTAATGAAACATGCTCATGCACATCAGTGACTTAAAAATGAATTATTATTTTATTCTTAATAATATTGTTAGTTATTTAAAAAACAAAAATTCTTACCATTGTTATGGGATGTGTAGTTTATTCCTTCATCAAAGATATCAAGACCATCTAATTTTGTTTGTTTTTAATGAATGAATGAAAGACTTTATTTGGAAATGTCATATATCTATCTAGAGCTGGTGTGAAAATACCTATTGAGAAAATGATTTGGAAAAATCCTTTACCCTGCAGTCCACAACTGAGCATATAATTCACATCTGTGGTTATCATGAAATTCAAAATGAATAAGCGGCTATAATGATTCATATGATTTATTAGTGGTTTTATTAGCATGCCTAACTGTTGATTCACAAACGTCTTGATTCATTAGGGGTTAGTGTATATGTGTTTCCCGGCAGGGATTGCATATCTCAATAGACACTTAACAGCTGAATTTGCTCATCCTCAGCAGATGTAAATCGTCTAGGCCAGACGTTACGAGGAGATGGTTGATGAGCTGACAAAGCAAAGATAATTCATGTGACCTAATATCCCTCCTTCTTACTTGCACTTTCTTTAACTTCTCACTTTCAAGGGTGGAAAAGGGACCCCTGGACCCAAGGGAGATGATGGAGATCCAGGTGACCCTGGATTAGATGTGAGTCATTTTCACTGTATCACCCTTTTTATTTTTTTTCCCACTTGTTTAGCTTCGTATATTCCATAGCACGCATATCACTTTTCTCTTCTTCTGTTTTTCATGAAATTATTCTCTTTCAAATGAATGTTCGGGGTTCAATACTAGTCGAAAGCACTATCACCAAAGGTTTAAAATCTGAGGGTGTGTTTACACTTGTAGTTCGGTCTGCTTTGTTCGCTTGGTCCGGACCAAAGAAAAAATAATATTTACTCCTGGTCTACTTAGCATTCACATTGGCATTTTTAACATCAAATCTAAACTGAATCTTAAAGGGATACTCCACTTTTTTTGGAAATAGGCTCATTTTACAAGTTAAACAGTTGAGTTTTACCATTTTTTTAATCTACTTAGCCAATTTTCTGATATTTAGAGGAATATCAGTAACCAGACAGTTTCTGATCTCATTGACTTCCATAGTAGGAAAAAATATATACTATGGAAGTCAATGAGACCAGAAACTGTCTGAATGGATTTTAAAATGGTAAAACTCAACTGTTTAACTCTGGGGGATTTGTAAAATGAGCCTATTTCCCAAAAAAGTGGAGTATCCCTTTAAGGCATAGCCAGAGGCATAGCCAAAGATCTGTTGCACGGAGCCGCGTTTCTGATCTGCAACATCGCGTATTAAGCATTAACTTGAGTATTAACATGTGCCATTTTTGGTTCGTTTACATATCTTTGGTCCTTGTTGTGTTCATATTTCATTCGAACAGCACCAGAGTTTATTTGGAAGCGGACTGAGATCCATTTCGCTTGTTTGGTGCGCATCAGGTTTCGGATGTTCACACTTATTCCAATAAACTGCACTAACAGAGCAATCGCACCAGGGCTCGTTTTAATCGAATTAAAATACTAAGCAAAATAATTTCAGGTTCATGCAAATGCAAAAAATCTTTATTCACCGATAACAGTGCCATTCTCAGTCAGCAAATTTATTCTGCAAAAGATGGTGTCAAATAATAGGAGGGTTTCTGAAATGAAGCAAGCAGTTTTGATTGGTCATGTGATTTTAACATGGCCGCCTCATGACTCCAGTCCATACAAATTAAACTAAAACATAATTTCACGAAAATTAACTTTTATTTTCTGTAATTTAAAGAGGTTTTTGTGTCGGTCACACATTCGTCATAGAGAATCCTGGAGCCTTGTGTTTAGGCAGCAGTGCACTGTATATATCTTGTTGTCAAGGATTCAATGAGGCTGTATCTTTATTTACCTTAGTTTCAAACCACTAGAAAGCAAGTCTTGAGATTATCTGATTTTTTTTTTGTGTGTGTGTGAGAATCACATCAGAGCCAAGTTTTCTTTTCTTGGTACACTACAACAGGGTAAACAACTTTGTCACTTTTGAATGCATGCATTACTAAACAAAACGTTTTTAGAGATGCCTAATAATTTAAATATCAGTTTGGATAAACAAGAATGCTTGAGAGTAGAAATTTCTTGGAAAGTTCATGTTTTACACTTTTCTAAAGCCAGACTCTTCAGCTGGATTACATTCTTTAACAGCCCCCACACACTTTCAGTCCAACAAATGGGTCTCCAGCACTCTCACAAAACAACATGTGCTGTAAAAGAGTTACAGGTTTCACACTGTGTCTGATGATTGATTCAAATGGTGGAAGTTGTTTTGAAGAGGTTGGGGTTTGGCCAATTAATTGAGAATTAATTCTCCTGCTGTCTGGTTCAGTTTTGAAATGTTTTAGAACAGCTAGCGGGACAGTTGTTGTCCCACACATGTACAAACTTCCCTGCCTATGTTTACAAGTGAAAATATTCTGATTTCATCTCAAAATAAACAGCTCTATCTATCTGGTCGCCGTGATTTTGCCAAGTAAGCCATGTTCCTGGATCAACATCTTTTTTTTTTGTTCCTGGACCAACAGTCCTGTCCAAAAACATAGTTCTAACCCTATTCCTTCCCCTAAACCTACTCTAACTTAACCCTAAAATCTGAGGGAAATGATAGGTGAATAAGAAACACCAAACCCTTGTTATAAGCCTAAACGTGACATTTAAAGGGTTAGTTCACCCAAAAATGAAAATTCTGTCAGTATTTACTCACCCTCATGTTGTTCCAAACCTCTATGTGTTTATTTGTTCTGCTGAACACAAAGGAAGATATTTGGAAGAATGTTTTAATCAAACAGATCTCATTCCCCATTGTAGTCAATGGGGAATGAGATCTGTTTGATTAAAACATTCTTCCAGATATCTTCCTTTGTGTTCAGCAGAACAAATAAACACATGGGGTGAGTAAATACTGACAGAATTTTCATTTTTGGGTGAACTAACCCTTTAAAGGGACACTTCACCCATTTGCATTAAGCTTTGTATCTTTAGAAACCCAGTCATATTTTTGAATTGTCATGGTTTATTCCCTTATTTTCCCCTGAGATGGGAGAAATAAGGATTTAAGTGTTTTACTTTGTGATTATTATGACGTAAAAATCGTCATAATAAGCAAGAAGTCACATTTCATTGGCATTGGGCAAGTGACTACAAACATTAGCTCATTATTATTCAAGGGTGTGGGGCCCACTCACCCTACAGGCCTATTACAGATCAGTGGGTGGGACTTCACTTGCAGATACTGAATCAATTTCAGTTTTCAGTACTTTAAAATCATGTAGCTAGCTGTGCATTATCCCATATAAAATAACCATGATATGAGGTTTTGTTCATAGCACCCACCCTTGTGTGGGATGTTAGTCGAGTGACAAGGTAAATGCCGGCTGTGAACTTATCACACATGCTTATATCAAAGTGCTGAGCTCATGTTTAATTTTTACATCAAAACAATTTTTAGTCTCTTGATTGTGGTTGGACAAGCCGACGCAAAATAGCAACAAACACATATGCTCACAAGCTTTCATCTTCAGTCATCTGGAGTCGATTTTTGGTGATCTAACACCCAGACAGCTTCACTATTCATCATCGTGTTTGTCTTTGTCCATGCAAAACCAAAACCTTCAAGGAAGCGGTGGAGATGTGCATATGTGAAAGAATTGTTTTTCATCTGTTGGCTGTTCGTGGTTCTTTCTTTAGAAATGCTCGTCTAATTTTAAAATGGTTGGTCTCTCTCTCTCTCACATTCAGAAGAATTAGCGCCAGGTTTTTGTTTGTTTGTTGAGCAGTGATTGAATGCACCCTTGAATGTTTGGGCTACAGAAAGGCCGCATAAATCATTCAGGATGTTTACAAGCCACACACATTTCGCAGCATATGTGTGTAAACTGTTTAGTGATCTTTCTAAGACATTTCTGAAAGACTTCTGATTTTGGCGGTGTTTGCCAAGTATTTGCTAATATTTCATAAACTGTAAAAAAAAAAATATATATATATATATATATATATATATATATATTGCGATTTTAATGGTTAAAGACCATCCATCAGTTTGAGGATCCAGTGGAGTTACAAGGTTTAGTCAAGTTTTTAAATACTTTTCATTGGTTAAATATTTGCAAAACCCATAGACAAAGTTAAAGGGTGACCAACTTAATGATTTATGAAAAAAATAAATATGGAAATGCAAGGTTTCCATATGGCTTCTTATTAGACTATTGCTTTAATGTCCTCTATACTAGCTCTTGTGACAAGGCTGACATTTGTCAGTGTTCGGACACATTTCAGAAGACAACAAACTTGTTTAGCTTGAAGAGTTAGAGCATGTTTTGAGCCTAAAACATAAAAAGGCAATGGACAGATGCACCCAAATTTCCACAACACATACACTTTATGATAATTAGAAACCTACCCTTGTGTTTATCACCTCTCTGTAACTCTCTTCAACTACTCACAAAAACTAAAGACCCACTGTAAAATGTTTTGAGTAATTTACTAACATTCATCTAGAATGCATTTAGAATATAAAAGCAATCATTAGCAGAATTGCAGTGCCCATAAATTAAAATGTTTAGTACGTGTTTTACAACCGCATCTTGAATGCCCAGAGGCTCTTCATTATAACCATTAGGTCTGGAGAGAATATAGAAGGATAAACTCTTTAACAAGCTGAAACAAACTCGGATTTAAAGTAAAGTTAAACTGCTGTGATTGAAACAACACTTGAATGTTTGAGCTAGAAAGGCTAGCCCAAACATGATATATGAACATTTTGCAGCATTTGGTTGGAATATTTACATCATTTACACATAGTGCTCATTCTGGTTAAGAGATTTCTGAAGACTTCTGTTAACATTGGTGTTGGCTAAGTCAAACAATATTACTTTTTTTACAGACTTAAGGCTGATTTATACTTCTGCGTCGGACCTACGGCGGAGTCTCTATGCTATAGACTACGTGTTGGTTTTCATTTATACTTCTGCTTCGTTGTCCGCGTTGACGAGCAATTAGGGGGATTAGGGAGCATGTGAAAGCCGGGGAGCGGTTCTAGCAGACCAATCACAGCGCAGAATTGACGCGTTGTTACATTTTTGGAGAGGTACACAGTTGGACGTAAAAGTATAAATTGGGCTTCAACCCATCAATTGTTCTTTTTTATTAACCCTCAGGTGCTCTTCGGTCATTTCTGACCGAAAAAATTTCTGTTTTGAATTTTTAAAAATCACAGCTTCATCGTAATGTTACGAAACTTGGTGACTTTTATAGCATTATGTATGTGAACACACCAAAAAATTGAGGTCATGATCTGAGCATGCTAAGTGGTCTTAAAAAAAAAAGTCTCACTTGTGGTCTTTGGTCAAAAATGACCCCCATAGGAAATAAATGGGAAATTGACGAACACAAAAATTCACAAATTTTTATTTATTTATATTTTTTACATTTTTTTTTAAATAAAAATCGTTTTTGAGATTGTTTCAACCATATATTCAAATCCAACAAAAAACAAAAAAACTAAAAATGTGTTCATAAACATCTGGGGAATTCACATGCCTCTCCATAGAGAGCTGTACATGCCATCTAGTGGTTACACCATGATTCTACGCCTTTTCTCTATACTCTAACCAGATGGTGCTAATTTTCTTCAAAAAATATTTTTTCTGAAGGTCTAGACTCTATATTAAACTAAAATACTGCATTAATAATTTTTTGAAAAAAATAATATATATATAGAAAATATATATATATTTTTCCATGGCAAAAATAGACAATAAATATTGCATAAATATTAATAAATTCAATCAAATTGTCTCAAAATACTAAAATAGAAAGAATAAATATTATAGAACAAAAATAAATTGCATTGGTTTTACTGGGATGGAGGAAATTTAATTTTTAGGTGTCCGGTCACTTTTGACCGGGAAGATAACAAGTGTGACTCCGAAACGAAGAGCACCTGATCTAACCAGTTAAGCATGATAGCCAGCACCAGAACTGCATAGTAATGTGCTATGAACCACTCTGAACACAACCAGCTTGAAGAAGGCTGATCTACTTTTTCTGGAAAATACATTTTTTTATTTACTTTGCTTATCCTAATAAAGCTGTCATGTGATGTATTAGCTTTAGCTGCATTTGTTGGGAGCATTAGCATTCTGTTGATTACACATATTAGCTGTGGTATAAGTTTATTTTTCTAGGACCTAGGTGAACATCTTCTTACTAAGCCAAATTTATGTATTTGTATGTTTAAGTGTATATATGTTGTGTGTATATGTTATTTTGTAGGCATTCCTCGCATCTGCTCCATATGAGCCATGAAGGTGCTTCTCCTTGTGTTTGGCTCTGTCTTTCTGCTGGCCAAGACTGTTTGTAAATGTTTTTCTGTGCTTGTAAACAATTGATTGGGCTCCTCCGGCCTCTCCCAAACCCGAGGGGCCCACATTTGGTCCAGTATCTGTCAAGGTAATCACAATGAGCCATAACAATATTGGCATGACGGCATCATTTAACCTCGTCCCAACTGTGAGCCTGCTAGGATAACGTCTGTGACAGTTGTGGACTTTGAAGTGAGGAATTTAAAGGTAATTGAAGCAGCATGGGAGAGACGGCTTGTAATGGGGACAGGTGGTTAGTATTATCTCACCGTCTGACCGTGATCTGGCCCGTGATCAACTATCTGCTGTGATGGTGGCAAAACTGTACAGAGACATCTGAATGAATGGAGACCATTTAAATTATTTTTATGAATGGAGATCGTTGTCTCAGACGGTTTTTGCTGATTGCAATGTTCATAGTTTTGATATTACAGTAAGGCTGGGATTAAGAGGCATTGGAATAGATTTTGAAGATTGGTTGAGTAGATCAAGTCCATCAAAGTGGGTTCAACATTTCATTTGATAACGTTTTGCAATTTTGATTTACATGCTGTTGAATGTTTGATGATTGCATTAGCATGTGTGTTAATGCTTCTATCACTTGTTTCGGTTTCTTGTTTGCTTGTTTTTGGATCTAGAGATTCTGCACTCTTTCAGGAGATGCATAATAGTACCCCTTGCCTAAAGCAGTGAAAACATGGATTGCCGGAAAATTCCATTAATGGTGGGCAAGTGTTGTCATAAATGACAGAAAATTCCACCACAGGGCTCCAGACTAACTTTTTTTTTTTTACTAGGAGCTCTGTAGCCCCTTACTGAAGCTTTTTAAAAGCAGAAAATTTTAAGTAATTCACATTTTCCCCCCATTTTGACTCTATTACTGACAAATGCCATGGTCTTAACATACAAAAATTACAATGTGCAGTTTTATTTGGGCATTGGCATTGGGCAAGTGTTGTCATAATTATAGAAATGGCGGCTACTTGTAAAGCTACTTATAACACTGTATTTTCCAAGCTTAATGTTCATATCTTGTTTTCCACAGAACAACAGGCCAGGACCACCTGGGCCTAAAGGAGCCAAAGGTCACCGAGGACCTGAAGGAAGTTCTGTAAGTGTGAATGCACCATTTCAGTGTTTTTCAACTGTATTTTTCCCTACTAAATTTTTTTTGTAAGGGTTTAATGATAAAAATGGTTATATTTGTTCATACACTCTCAGAAAAAAAGGTACGAAAGCTGTCACTGGGGTGGTACCTTTTCAAAAGGTAGACTTTTGTACCTAAAGGGTGCATATTGGTACCTTCATGGTACATATTTGTACAATTATGGTACCAATATGCACCCTTTAGGTACAAAAGTGTACCTTTTTGAAAAGGTACCGCCCCAGTGACAGCTTTTGTACCTTTTTTTCTGTTCGCCAATGAGGGTTCATATGAGCGTGATATTCTGTACCATGTTCTTAGGTGTGTGTCCACCAAAGCGTTTTTCCACGCGCCTGGCGTTTGTTTTCAATGGGAGCGCTGCGTTTTTTAAACGCCACGAAGCGCTGAACGTTTTTTTCATGCTGAAGGCGTTGTTTTTACTGGTCGCCGAGAGTTGAAAAAGTTTCAACTTTGGATAAAACGCAGCGCTGTCACTTTTTACCCAGCCGTCCAATCACAGCGGAGGAGGGGCGGGACTAATACCACACCGACCAACTGTCACAACATTCTTTCTGTACAACGGTATCAACCAGCAGAGCTAACCGAGCAACATGGATGAAAAATAATTTTTAATATGAAACCAATAATCTGCGAAATCAGTTACAAGTAAACCGTGCTGCGGATATTCTGTATCATTGCAACGAAACGTCAGCACCAACATCTAGGCGTTTTCAGCTGGCTAAAAAACGCTTTGGTGGACACACGGCCTTATGTCAGCATCCTGAGACACTTTAAATAACGTATCTGTATTCTGAATCAGTGAAACATAGACATGCCGATGGATTGAATGCCTGAGATCCAAAAGGCCCAAGAAAGTTCACTTTCAACCTTTTGTTGAGAAATAGAATGGAATGTGATCAACAAATCTAACCCCAAAATTGTGGCCAAATAAAAGTTAGAAAAACAAGTTTTATTGTTCGCTTGATATAGAATCCAAACTACCATTGGCCACAGTTGACATGCTCACTTAAGCTAAATCATGCCAGAAAACCTGGACCTGAACTTGGTTAAGCATCTTTAAATGACACACAATCTCATTAGATACATTTAGAAGGTGATTGGCATTACTATATTTTCAAAAGGAAACAACACGGCTCTTACACTGTCCAGAGGAGCCAAGAGAAAGTTTTAAGTGTAGAAATCTTCAGTTATGTAGAACGGCATTAAACAGCCATGAGTTATGGGTGTGTGGGAAGGGAAATTTCTCTCAGCCTGCAATTTCGTGATGTTCCTCTTTGCCACTGGATGACATCCAGAGAGGAGGAGACTTGACTGTCTCAAAAATGCTCTTATTTGGGAAGGGATTCAGAGCTTCTTTGCTCTGGCAGGATTACATCTGTGTAGCATGTAACAAAACAGACATTGACCCTTCCAAAGACCTGTTTATGTTGTTCGATACTGGTACAGCATGTGTCTTCATGTGCACATTGTATATTTCATCTGTCTTGTATTCATGCACAGGGACCACCAGGACCACCTGGGCCTCAAGGAGCAGATGTGAGTGAGTTTGATTTGAATAAACTGGGTTTTGCTGAATGCACAAATCAAAGAAAGCACACATTTTTTTGGATTTAATCTAATGCACATTTTCCAGCACAGTTTCCTGTATGAAGAGACAAAGAGGGTGACGGTGCACTTGATAATAAACGATCCAATTCACTTTCCGTTATTTTTGTGAATTCCACATCGCTGACAGCCAGTAGCTATGGTAATCTCTAGCCAAGGCCCAAGCACATACCACACTATTCTTTTTGTGGAATAAAAGCATCCTTTAATAGCACACGACAGCTGGCTTGTTTCAGTTGTATCTGCAAATAAATGAATGCACGACACTATTTGAACAAGTCTTTAAGATCGACATTTGAAAGGGTTAAAATTGACAAAAAAATGTAAACATTTAAAAAAAAAAATTTTGTATGTGTGTAATGTTAAAATCCCCTTACTAGAGAGGAATATTTGCATATTATTAATTTGAATAGTACAATGATCTTTGGTGAAAATTGGATTCCTTGTGACCCCTTTATCGGCAACACATATTATATGTGAAGAGTTCAAGTGCCATTTAAAATTTTCTTCTACAATGATCATTTTGATCAAGCTTGTATATTTCAGTTCAGTAATTTCACTTTAATTGCAATGAAGATTACCTATTAATTGTCATTAAAGTGAAATTACTGAACTTAAATACACAAGCTTGATCAAAATTATCATTCTAGAAGAAAATTTCAAATGGCACTTAGAGGCTTTTGCATCTGAACTGTTCATATTGGCATAGTATGGGTTTTAATCACCCAGCACAAGAGGAAATACACTTAAAAAAAGTTTATTTGTAGTAATTGTGAGTCTCCGGGGAGCGTTGTGCAGAAAGTGCAGAATTTCCTGTAATTAAAACAACATGGACTTGTGGCTCCATTTTGTGATACAAAATGGCGACAGAGAAAATCAGTTGCAGGGGCAGCAGTCTCTCTCCATTAATGTCTCTCTCTCTCTCCCTCTCTTTGTAGGAATGTGAGATTCTGGATATCATCATGAAGATGTGCTGTGAGTAGACCTGTTTTTGTATTTACTCATGACTCACTACTCTGTTTCACTGCCTCCATAAATGGCGACCTGCCTGTCGCCCATATTGATTTAACACCGTAATGTCGACTCGTGCCGTGAAGTGATGATACAGCAGTCCACCTAGCCAGCTCAGTGTTCACCAAACTTTTGCAGGCCAGTAGAGAACATACAAAAAAATACTGAGATACTTTGCCTCTTAGTAATAACCACCATTCATTTGCAGCACAAGGAATATATTAGGCCCTTGGTTTTCTTGAGCAAAGCAGATTTTAGTGTACAATACTGTGTGTGTGTGTGTGTTTTCCCCTTAAAACTCATGCATTCATATAATATGTGTGTGTAGATCCTATCAAGTTGCACAAATCATTATGCTAGTTTTTAATTAATCAGTTTATGCCCAAGAAGCATGTTTATTGTTTTTGTTTTATAACTCATGTTGGAGCCACAGCCTTTAACCCAGAATGGATTCATATAAATGCTCATATTGTACACGTTTATCGTAAATATTAGTTTTGGAAGCTTAACTTAGATATTTAATATCGCCATCCGGCCATGTGAAAACAGGACATAATCCAATTGGAGAGAAAACACTGATTCTTTGAACAGAAGTGTGTAAAAGTTCAGTGTGAAAGTACACATCAATGTTGAAGGACTAGGATTTGACAGTATCAGCCAATCAGATGCAAATAATGTTTCGTGGACTGCTATTTTTACTTGATGTGGCCCAATGTTTGGGGTAATTAATTTTGTCCTCCCTATACGACCCTTTGGCTTCAACCCTGTCCATTCATCTTGAGTTGCTTTTGTAAAACAAAATCTTGAGTTGTTGTTGTGTCAGTTAATTTTGATAAATTACATTTTTCGTGTAAGAGTTAAATCAGTGTGTGAAATGTATTATGAATGAGACCCCAGGGGCCTGACAAGTCTGTTTCAGCCAACAAGGCAAACATCCAACCATTCACTTTAGATTAGGCTGCTTTGTATATTTTAGAGTTTTACCATTTATTTTTCCTCCCAAACATAATGTTAATTTTGCCTAGTTCTGTCCAGACCTTCACCGTTCGAGTCAGTTTTATTTTATATAACAGAGGCTTTAAATAGGCCATTGTTCTATTCATTGCCACCACAGATTAAATATGAAATGCTCTTCTAAATATTCCCCTGTTGGGTTACAAAATCAAAAATAAGAGAAAAAATGGTCAGGTATTTAGGTCAGAGCATTAACAATCAATCAAGTCAATCAAGTCAAGGCTTTTTTAAATCACAAATGAACTAATTTTAATGAACTTATATTATTTCCAGACCAAATTATTCCATCTGTAACAAAAGCTAAATAAATGTGGATTCCTTACTTTGAATGTTTTGCTAGAACATACGTTTCTGATCTGATTTGATGCAAATTTAATGTGTTTTCACTTTCCTTTTTTTTTTTTTTAGCTTGCTGTGGTAAGTCCCAAAACTCCCAAGAAATATTTCAAACTGTTTTATTTAGTGTTCTGCAATGCCATCTTCCTTAAATACATTTGTTATTGAAGAATGCACATGCGGACCCCTGGACATTGCTTTCATTGTGGACAGCTCTGAGAGTATTGGCTCTTCTAACTTTGCCATTGCCAAAGACTTCATCGTGACGGTGATGGACAGACTCAAATTAAGACAGGTATTTACTATGAGACTCATTAACACTTCAGTTAACTGTCAACTTGTATTTATTGGGGATGTAATCATGATACACACTGAGAAAGACACAATCCCCATCATATTCAGATTAGTGGTTAACCGACATGGGTTTTAATGGTTGTTTCTTAAAGGGATACTCCACTTTTTTTGGAAATAGGCTCATTTTACAACTCGCCCAGAGTTAAACAGTTGGGTTTTACCATTTTTGAATCCATTCAGGCGATTTTCTGATATTTAGAAGAATATCATTAACCAGACAGTCAATGAGACCAGAAACTGCCTGGTTACTTATATTCTTCTAAATATCAGAAAATCGCCTGAATGGATTCGACAACAGTAAAACTCAACTGTTTAACTCTGGGGGAGTGGTAAAATGAGCCTATTTCCAAAAAAAAGTGGAGTATCCCTTTAAATGATTACATTCAGTCCCCTTTAATCTTGAAGATGTAGTAGTTACATACTAGATACATGTGCTCTTCTAAATGAATTCCACATTATAATGGCAATAGATGCATTTAAGTTGAGTTTCCCATTTCTTTTTTGCAGTTTGGTGCCAATGAGTCTCGTATTGGCGTGGTGCAGTACAGCGGTGCTAATGCTCAGGAGGTCGTACAGCTTGGTGACCCCAACATTAAGACCCTGACAGACCTAAAACAGTATGAAATATCAACGATCTTTTGTTAAAAGCCATAATCTGCACACATACAGTATGGCAATAACAACTTCAAGTTACTCTTCTGTGGCTTGAAGGAATTTGGATGCCTGCATTTTGCATTGTGTCTGAAGAATAAAAATGATCTCTGTCCTTCACTTTAGAGCTGTGAAAGAGTTGCGCTGGCTAGCTGAAGCCACATACACCGGAGAAGCTCTGCAGTTCTCGCTAAATAAAATGATTAGCAAGCTAGTGACGGAGAAGAGTGTGGTCCTTGTCCTAACTGATGGACGCTCTGACACCAAGAGGGACAAAGTGCCCTTAAACGTGCTGTGTGGCAAAGGACTGAAGGTAAACCTAACAAACTTGGACAACCTAAGCTCATAGGAAAAACGTGCCTCCATTTTTCCAATTATTTTCCAATTCCAATTTTATTCTAATTATTTTCCAATTCCAACCATTACAATTCACTGCAGTTTTAGGCTGAAATAAACACTTGTGGGAGTAAAACACCAACAAGTTTTATTCTTGTTCACACACATTCTGATTACGGCCCAGTTTATTGATTAATAAACACTATTATATGACCTAGGCATTTCGCAGCTGAACTGTTGCGATACCATTTCCAGATTCACATGCATCTGTTTCAGAGAAAAATGAACAATCCCACTCATTGGATATATAACTTTGAAAGTCTCACAAGACATTGAAGAAGAGACGTAATTGGCAGAAATGTTGCAACTGGCATGTATTTCCAATTAGCCGCGGTGGAGCTAATGAACTAACGTTGTTATGTGTATAGAAACCGTTTTCACAGAAATGTAATTCATTATTCAATTATATGAATTTAATATGCTGCATAACGTAATGTCATGATGTTTAGTTAGGGAGAACTTGTGATCCAAAGACATTTCATGTTATTGGGATCCAAGAATGGTCCCAATAAACCAGAAAGGATTTACTGGTAGAGGGGAACCTCGACTCACTTCTGGTTTCTGGCAGGTTGGTGGCGTTGGAGTCGCGGATTATGCAGAACGAAACCCCAATCGAGAACAGCTTGATGAGGTTGTGTGTAAAGATGATCCCAGAAAAGGTTTCTCCTTTGTCCTGAACAACTTTGGTGTTCTTCTGGATGACAGTTTCCTGCAAAACCTGACTGATAAAATCTGTGAAGGTAGGTAGTATCTGCTGCAGATTTAGTGTTTTGTGAGTTCTGGATCTAAATTTGAGAAAGCCTTACAGTATTTACTACATTGTGCTTTTTTCACAGACAAGAAGTGTCCCACTTATACTTGTCCAAGTAAGTATTTATTTGAGAACACATTACCCAGATTTGTCAGCATTTTAACCATTAGATAATAATGAGTACACCCTTTTCCTCTTCCCCAGTTTCATTTGTCGACAACACCGATGTCCTCATCATGATGGACAGCTCGGCCAGCGTGGGCTCCAAGAACTTCGAGATGACCAAGGATTTCACACGGATGCTGGCTAAGCGTTTTCTGTCAGCAGAAAGAGGAGGTTTCCAGGTCCGGGTTGGCGTTGGCCAGTACAGCAACAATGCCAACTTAGAGGCGGAGTTTTCCTCAAACGCCACCCAGGTGGTGGCTCAAATCGCAGAAGCCAAGTTCCAGAGTCAAGGTACACAGGTAACAAACGCTCTCAACTTTGCCATCGAGCGCTTCAGGGGTGGCAGGACGAGGAAGAAGAAGCTGCTGGTGTTTTCGGATGGTCGTTCCCAAGGCGTCAACACCATCCAGATTGAGAAAGCCGTGGAGCAGGTGAGCAAAGCGGGCATCGAGCTGTACGTACTGGCCGCGGGAAATCAGGTGAACGAGGCAAATCTGCGCACACTGGTGAGCCGTGGCCGGCCGTATGACAACACGTACGCCTACCGCCACCTTTTCAAAGTACCTGACTACCGCTCGATGGTCACTGGGGTCTTTTACCAAACTGTCTCCCGCAAGATTTCCCTGGAGTCGAGGGGGTGATTGGGTAGTGGGAGGGGTCAAGGAACAAAGGGAGTCTGCGGCAGTATAGCACAAGCTTTGATTGTGTTCGTCTATTTTTCATGTGAATGATATATCTGAACTTAAAAGGGTATTTTGATAGTCTCAGTTTCATTTCGTAAAAGACACTAAATGACTATGTCGGAATTCTTAAAAAAAAATTATTTTTTATGTCACTAAGTCTTTGTAAAGTATAGGGATTCATCTAGTCATTCAACAGTTTACGTCAATTCTTTGAGTTCTAGTGCTTTGACTATATGACTGTATTAAAGTTTGATGTCCATATCTGCCATTCAACTGCCAAATTAGCATTCAATGATGTTGAGGGCACAAAAAATTTATTCTTTTAGTGGTCGGGAGCTGAAATGATGACTCGTTATAAATACAAGGAATGTATCATTAAAATGCAGAGACATTTATATCTAGCAACCAGGGTCCAAAATAAACATGTCCTTCCCATCTATCTATCTATCTATCTATCTATCTATCTATCTATCTATCTATCTATCTATCTATCTATTCAAAAGGAATTGTGTTTATTTTGGACTCTGCTTGCAACAAGTCAATTCTTTATTTTCATTTGTCTGTGGTACACTTAATTGTTAGCGTTAAAAGTAAAACTTGAATATCAATTTGGTGCTACTAATAGAAACACTACACTAGCTCCTTTAGTTATTCAAATGCAGGTTTCTTCAAAATAGCTCTTAATACCTTTAGACAAAGTGTTTACCAATAGGTTTCTCATGTCAGAAATGTATTTTAAACCAGTTTCGGGGCTATTGTAAAGGGATTTGAAATAAAGGATGCTACACCCCACCACTAACGCCTCTGTCGTTTGTCCATCTTGAAAATAAGATGCGTGCACAAACTCCACAAACAATCCTGGAATGCTGTGGACGATCAGTGTCAATTTACTTGTTAGTGGAGAATATTTTAAACTGCTTTTTTTTTTAATTAATCTAATTTATCTCCTTGCATATGCCACAAATAATTTCAATAAACCATTTATTTACTATCTTTCATCAATTTATGGTTACTGTACATTTGAAAATCTGAAATTATTTTGTGTCCCTTAGAATATTAGTGTTGAAAAACAATTTGAGATATTCTGTTTATCCCATAAGAAATAAATCCTGGGGAGGATGAACAGTTGCTGCTTGTTCATAGTGAATGGGATTGCCTATAAATTTGTCCAACTACAACATGACAATGTATAACGCCAAGTCTCCACATGGAAAACAACCACAACCCCCTGACAACATGCAATATGTCATCAGAGATCCGGCTGTGGTTTTTTTCTGGCTGTGAAATGCTTTCCTCACCCAAAAGCAGCTAAGAGCTCATATGATCTGACAAGGCCATTTAAACCTGTCCTTAAAATTATTGTTTAGACTGAAACGGGGCAAAAAATGATTCAGGATACACATTTCTGTTGACCAAGGCTGAATTTATTTAATCAAAATACAGTAAAAAACAGTAATATTTGGATATATTATTATGGTTACACTTTATGTGTACTTACAGTGTACAGTAGTTACCCAAGAAAGTATTAGTAACATAAGGTTTAAGATAGGCTTAGGGGTAGGATCAGGGTTAGAACCTAGTTATAATTTAATGCATGCATTGCATTTCCCTTAAAAAATATATCACTGACCCTAAACTTTTATTTGTTTATGTTCTCTATTCTCCGTCCCATGAATTCCTGTTGTCTTTTAAGAGCCAGGTGAATCAGATCATTGAATGCCATGAGCTCCTGGGTCAGTTTATTTAGTATCCCGAGGTGATGAAGCATGAAAGTCCCCGTGAAATCAAAATTGAACCTATTTACTTTGTTAGCGCATATTACTAGTCTTGTGGTGAACAATTAATCCGTGCAAGTAAAAATATATTTAAAAAATGTTTTACCTTGGTAATCTTTCATCAAAATCTGAAAAGTTACTTCCGGTCTGGAACGGTTTCTTTTTCTGATGACGTAGGTTTCACAGCTTGGGTGGGGAAACGCTTAACCACTCCCCTCAAACCGTTAGTTTGCTATGAGCGAGAGATGGAGAGGAGGAGCGCTAGAGTAAAACCCTGCCCTCTGTTCAATATTCCGTTTCACTTGGAAATACGTCACAGCACTGGAGAAAAATCGTTTGCAACTTCCGGTTCACGGGGACTTGAAGTGTGATTCGCATTGCTGTAAACAGATCACATGTGGATTCGTTTTAGCCGTTGTACATTTTCTCATTAATCCTCATTTCCCCTAGAAAATACATTGAAGAACAACTGTGATGCATTAAAATAATAGTCTCACTAGATTCCTTTTAGGTAAACAAAACACTTAACATTTGCATTTGCAAGAGTTGCTTAAAGACTGGCACCCTGCTGTGTTCATACATCTAACTTATCCATCCTACCTTTAGCATCATTAGCATCTGTTAGCCTACATGGTAATGAACCAGTGCTTTAAGATAACAAACATTTCTGTCATGAATATATAAACCCCCCAGAATATTTTACGGATTTGGATTATTTCTTTTTACGACCTTCAAGTTTACCCATTACTAATTACCATATTTAAAAACTTTACCTCTTTTACCTTCTCATAAGCACCATGTCAAGACCCCTGCGCTCAACATTATGTGCAGTTAGTGTCGCGGCAAGTGTGTTAAACCTACGAGGTCATCTCCGGTCAGTGCTTCAGTAGCAGCGGTGTAATCTCACCTTCATCTGTTGAGGTTTTGCCATGGTGTCCGTTTCCTTTCATAACTCTAGGGAGCATGAAACCACAACAGCCATTAAACTATTATAAAATATTTTTTTGGGCAAACATGTTAGGCCTGAGTCATGACCACAACTTTGAATTTACAAGACGCAATCTGCTTCCGTTTTCTGTTTTCCTGGCAAATAATTTAATTTAATTATTTTATTCAGCAACAATGCCTTAAATTGATCAAAAGTGACCGCAAAGACATTTATCATGTTTCAACAGATTTCTCTTTCTCATTAAAACTTACTATTGATCAGTCCTGACAAAAAAAAAAAAAATTAAACTAATTTCAACATTGATGTTAATAAGAAATGTTTCTTGAACATTACATTTTAAAAATATAGTAAAATAGCAAACAGTTATTTTAAAGGTAGGGTAGGCAATTTTGGAGCGGCTAGCAATAGCGGGCTTTAAAGGATTAGATCCCACCCTTCCTTCAGAGCGTCTCCACTACAAAAACACCCAACGCATTATCATCCCAAGGCGTCATTTACATAAGCGTAGACATCCAACGCACATGGCACCCTTTGGCATCAATATAACACGCACGGAGTATGGGTAGGTTTAGGTCTGGGGTAGTGTTAGGGTTAGACCACTAGGAGGCACCTTCTGCCCCATATATATTTGCGTCTCATATTGACGCTAACTTCCGGCTGATGGATGACCCCCTTGCAAAACACATGAACGCACACATAGACGGCAAGCTGTTTAATTACCTCATGTCTCAAAGCACATAACTTTACAATAATACTAAACGTAAACAACTTACAGAGGGTCTTACTTGTACCACCTGACTGCTGCAGATTCATTTAGGTGTTGATATTGACAAAGAAACGCATATATCCGAGCCTATATCCAAGGATGTGAACAGCTCAGGGCAGTGTTGTAGTCGAGACCACCTCACGCGAGTCCGAGTCGAGACCGAGACCAGAGAGAGTCGAGTCCGAGTCAAGACCGAGTCCATAGAGAGTCGAGTCTGAGACCAGAGACGGTCGAGTCCGAGTCGAGACCAGTGAGGGTTGATTACCTAATTTACTTTTATTTACTTAGAGAAATCCTTTTTTTTTTTTTTACTGAATTTACTTAGAGTTTAAAAAATATGATCAGTTTAGGGTAAAATAGTAGGTGATGTTAAAAGTAATTTTATTACAATTTGTCATGCGCAGTTGCGCACTACAAAATCACCAATCACTGGGCGTGTCAATCAATTTAAAGAAATATTTTATTAACATACATTAATAATCATGAAAAATATTTTGAATTGAACTCGAGTGGACACGGGAATTAGTCCGAGTCCTAAAAAAAAAAATGTTTGAGTACAAGTCAATTCCGAGTCCGAATGCGAGTCCATGACAAGACCAAGACCATTAAAATATGGTCTCGAGACCGAGTCCGAGTCTCGAGTACTACAACACTGGCTCAGGGTAGAACATACCCTACCTTTAATTTGTAATAATATTTCTTAATGTTACTGCTTTTACTGTATTTTTGATCCAATAAATGCAGTTTTTCATTATTATTTATTTAACAGTGACTGCTAAGAACATAAGCCGTCCCAATTGGAGTCTTACTCGGAAAAACTCTTCAGCTGCTAAAACATCCAAACCCTATTAAAATTCAACCCCATCAGGCAAAATTCAATCTCATTTTACAATTCTCTCTGAATGTTTGACTGAACCACCAGATCTGCTTTTTATTGATAGCAAACCTTCCGTTTCATAACATTCAGCCTTGAAATGTTGGGCTGATTTCAACATCAATCTTCAATGTTGCCAGATTTTGTGTTAGAGTCATATTATTATTGGTGCAACATGGGAGGCTTCTTTGGGAGTTTAGAGTTTAATACTGTAATGTTACTACAATATTCTGCCAAATCATGCCTGAAGCACCACATACATGTACACGCTAAACCCGTTCGGCATTCGCCAGATCCTACTCGTTTGAAATCCCTCAGCCATGGGAACTGAGTGTAAGTAGGTGTGGGAGGGGTTTAAAGAGAGAAGTGGTTTGGTACAATGTGCCCAGCTAATGTCTCCCAGCTGGCTTTGAACGACTGAAGGCCAACATCTGGAGGCATGTGGTCACAGAAATATCTCTGTTAGGATGCAAGTCGCCTGCAGAAAAAAAAAAAGCTATGAGGTGAGGTAAAGATGACAGAATGAAAACAAAAGAGGAAATATGTGTAAAAAAAGACTGGATCAAGTAAATATATGAGAGGAAATTGAAACTTATGTTTTGTTTAAGTTTGGTTCAAAGAAGTGGACATGAATTGAGAAAAGGGAGGATAAGAGAAAAATAGTGGGAGAGGGGAAGGAAAGAATTGGCTTGAATGGCGTAGCAGGGTAATCCCATGATGCACTGTAATTTGCTTGAGCAATGAGAGCTGTGAGAGCTCCATAGTGGGAGTTTAGTTTAGTTTAAACAAACTCCGGCCAATAGCGAACCGCAGAACCGGGATACCAAAACCACTGTTAAACACTTAGTCAAATGACACACACAATCTTGTTACAGCTTGTAGGAGAAGCTGAATCACAGGCTTAAATTAGGGGGAGGAGGGGAACCCACTTTATTCAAAACACTTCATATTATTATAGGCATGGATCATCACTAACATAATGGAGTCATTACATTGTGATCTATTCTGAATAATTCATCATTTAACAAACTGAACTTTTCACTGGAAAAACAGCCTGGCTTACTGATTAATGATGGAATTAAGCTCACAAGCTGACTTGAAAGTATACTTTAATTGTTGGATTGAATTAAGATGCTGATCATGGATAACTTGCAATGCATTCTCATCCTATTATGCGTAAACATCCAACGCACATAGTGCCCTTTAGCGTCAATATAACACGCTTCGGTTATGGGTAGGTTTAGGTCCGGGGTAGGGTTAAGGTTAGACCACTAGGAGGCACCTTGAGCCTCATACATATCTGCGTCTCATATTGACGCGAAAGGGTGCCATGTGCGTTGGATGTATACGAATTGTCAGTATATGACGCCTTGGGATGAGAACGGGCTGTAACTTGAGTACTCAAGGAAATGTGTCTTTAAATTTAAAA